TGTTTGCCTGAACCAACGAGATAGTATTGCTGTAGCTTTATTTGCAGGTGGTCTGTTTGCCTGAACCAACGAGATAGTATATGGCTGTAGTTTTATTTGCGGGTGGTTTGTTTGCCTGAACCAACGAGATAGTATTGCTGTAGCTTTATTTGCAGGTGGTCTGTTTGCCTGAACCAACGAGATAGTATATGGCTGTAGTTTTATTTGCGGGTGTTTTTTTTTGCTTGAACCAACGATATAGTATGGCTGTAACTATATTTGCCGGTAGTTTGTTTGCTTGAACCTTTACGGGTGGTTTGTTTGCCTAAACTAACGAGATAGTATGGCTGTAGTTATATTTGCGGGTGGTCTGTTTGCCTGAACCAACGAGATAGTATATGGCTGAAGATATATTTGCGGGTGGTCTGTTTGCCTGAACCAACGAGATAGTATGGTTGTACCTATATTTGCGGGTGGTTTGTTTGCCTGAACCAACGAGATAGTATGGCTGTAGTTATATTTGCGAGTGCTTTGGTTGCCTGAACGGACGAGATAGTATGGCTGTAGCTATATTTGCGAGGGCTTCGTTTGCCTGAACCAACGAGAAAGTATGGCTGTAACTATATGTGCTGGTAGTTTGTTTGCTTGAACCTTTACGGGTGGTTTGTTTGCCTAAACTAACGAGATAGTATGGCTGTAACTATATTTGCGAGGGGTTTGTTTGCCTGAACCAACGCGAAAGTATGGCTGTAACTATATTTGCGAGGGGTTTGTTTGCCTGAACCAACGAGATAGTACGGGTGTAGCTAAATTTTCGAGTGCTTTGTTTGCCTGAACCAACGAGATAGTCTGGCTGTAGCTATATTTGCGGGTGCTTTGTTTGCCTGAACCAACGAGATAGTGTAGCTGTAGCTATATTTGCGAGTGCTTTGTTTGCCTGAACCAACGAGATATTATGGCTGAAGCTATATTTGCGAGTGCTTTGTTTGCCTGAACCAACGAGAAAGTATGGCTGTAACTATATTTGCGAGTGGTTTGTTTGCCTGAACCAACGAGATAGTATGGCTGTAGCTATATTTGCGAGTGCTTTGTTTGCCTGAACCAACGAGATAGTATGGCTGTAGCTAAATTTTCGAGTTGTTTGTTTGCCTGAACCTTTGCGGGTTGTTTGTTTGCCTGAACCTTTGCGGGTTGTTTGTTTGCCTTAACCTTTGCGGGTTGTTAGTTTGCCTGAACCTTTGCGGGTTGTTAGTTTGCCTGAACCTTTGCGGGTTGTTTGTTTGCCTGAACCTTTGCGGTTTGTTTGTTTGCCTTAACCTTTGCGGTTTGTTTGTTTGCCTGAACCTTTGCGGGTTGTTAGTTTGCCTGAACCTTTGCGGGTTGTTTGTTTGCCTGAACCTTTCCGGGTTGTTTGTTTGCCTGAACCTTTGCGGTTTGTTTGTTTGCCTGAACCAATGATATTACGATGTTGCACGAGTTAACCGAGTGTCCATTTCAAACGAAATGGAGGAGAGTGAACCCAGTCAATCCAATGTCTGAAGAATGTCTTCCGAGTATTAAAGAAAACTTCACGTTTAGTTCCATAAATCTCGTATAAAATGCAACTAAATTCAACCATACACACATAGGGAAATGTTAGCCAGGTGGCATAGGAAAGTAGCTAGCGCCTGATAACTGTACTGTAAAGCGCTTTAGAGTGGCTTATGTTAGCTAGATAGGGCGCAATATCAAATGTTTTATATAATAATAATTATTATTATCAATACCTTTCTCATCATATTACCAATAACTCGACCTTATGCCCGTTTGCATCAATCAGCATATGACGCGACACTGTCATGACGTTACAAGACAATACAAATGACGTCATGACACTGACGTCACTTATATAGTCTTAATGTTGTCGGCCATAAAGCTGCTCCTAAATTAGGTAATACGCAAAAAAGTGACCCGAGAGTAGTTACTTCTTAAACACGGCCGGGATGTACCGTAATAAGGTGCGGCCTGATACATACCTGTGACCTTGTCCTGACCTTGACCCGTCATACCGATGGCCAGCTGCTGGTTGAAGTCACAATCAAACACGCGGCCGTCCCAGTTGACACTAAGGAGGTTCCGACACATCAGTTTATCTATGGTCTTTAGATTGTAGTTCCTCACCAGAAGCTCCAGATAACCCTGTAGTTCATTCCTAAATGATGACGGAAACGTTAAGATTTAATTGTTATCTTATTATGGACTTTCGTGATGGTGAATATGCAAACGGAACACCTCACCCGATTGCAGTACCTCTCATATTGCAATCGGCAAACCTCAGGTTTCTCTGCTACGCTCCATTATCATATTGCGAGATAATATTGAACTGACTGCATAAGGGGATTTCATTTGTTCAAGAATTTGTATTTACTGATCACCCAATATTTGCATATATACCCTGGATAAACATTAGTATAGACAATGTATATGTAAATGTATATATATGGGGCAAAGAAGTAATTCCAACAGTGTGGACAAGTTTAGGTTGTCAAATTTTCGGAGCGATCCGCTCCTTTATCAAGACACAGTGAAACAGAACAGTTACATGTACATATACATCATATTACAAGAAGATAGAACTGATATACTATAATTGAAAATATAGCTATTATATAAAACCAATAGTCTCCTCGGCTAAAGACAGCCGAAGGCAGCAATTATATATATATAATTTAATTTTGCCTATCTCCCTTATTACATTTTTTTGGTATATATCGTATAAACCTAAAAAGAAAAACAACTGATGACGAAACTATTTTTTACACTTCATAATGCAAAATTACTACGCAGCTTTTTTTTAACGCACTTGTTTAGCTTACGTAAAAATTAAATAAATCTTTAACTGTGCATTTACAACGTGTTTGTCTACTTTTTTAAATTAATTTGCGGATTTATGCAAAGTGCACTTTTTCCCCCCGGTATATACCGTATATACCAAAACAAAATCTTGGTCATTCCTTAAATATATATATTTGTATAATTAGTAATCAGCTAATTAGGTAGGTGTCGTGTTTATCAAGTTTCCCTAATGTAGGTTTTTTATGTCTGTGTCGTCCATCAATAACGTCAATATTGACTTTATAATATAGAGTTAATAACTTTTGCATCTGTGCATATCATATCAGAAGTTTTTTTAGTTTATTATATGTACGAGTATATTCTTTTTCCAATCCTGTTATGCTCTCCCGCCTGTATGTCACAGTATGATAAGCGTAAAGATTTGGAAATTTTTCCTACAGTGAACTTTCCCTTTCTTCATAGTGATACCCTACATACGCTGTTGGGATGTCGCAGTTGAATCGAGATGCGCGAGTTTGCTCCGATATCCTTAACATATGTCGAGTGCTGACGGACAAACCAACAACACAGGATTTCAAGAGACAACTTGATGAAGACAGTGGACAAAATGTATGGTCGCCACTATCATCTCATTGGCAAATATTGGATTTTATTGGCTTATATGAATGTCGATGTTTTAGGTATGCTCATTATACAAGTACTTCTAACTTATAGTAATCACTCTTGTTGGGGCGGATGTGAGCGCGCGGGGGTCTGAATGTGGGAGGAAACCGGAGTCAGGCAGATGAACCCATATCTTTTCACATCCGATCTCGGAATCGAACCTCGACTGCCTTGGTGAAAGGCAAGTGCGTTATCCACTGCGCATCCCGACCAACCAACTTCGAGATTAATACAAGAGGTCCATGGGCCTTAACGGTCACCTGATATATTTATACAGAGAGTTGATTTTTGTTTTTAACATGAACAGAAACATTATTCAAAGTGACAAAAAAATAAATAAAACCACCTTATTCAATATCTAGCATGCAGATTTAAGACTGAAAAGTATTTGAAACTAGCACCTCTGAATCTAAACAAGGAAAATGAAGAGATTTTATTTTAGCACACGGACTCCATTGGGCCCCACCCTACAGCCCTTGGGGTAGGGATGGCTCAAAATTTACAAAGTATCAAACTGTCAACTTAGGGTTATAATTCCAATCAAGTTATCAACATGTAATATTCAAAGTATCATTTGCCATTATAAACCATAACAAATTTTGCCCCCCC